CACCCAAGGTGGGGGAACTACTTCGACGTAGGTGGCGGTGGATCTCCAAGATGCCATCTCCTGCTCCATGGCAGCTATCCACTAAGAAGCCAAGGGTTCCGAGGTCCCCTCAGCGTAAGTGCAAGCTGTCGAGATGTCAAGGGCGTCTGGGTCACCCTCAGGGACTAGCAGCATGGAGCAAAGATGGGGAGCGGCCTCTGACAGGAAAGCGAGCTCGTAATGCATGTCCTCTGGAACGTCACTGCCAAGGGCAGTTGCACCCCCGACTGGCAGGGTCAGGAACCAGAGCGGTGGCGTAGTCAAGGCGGCGGGTAGAGGCAAAGTCAGCGACGGCAGCGACAAGAGCGTCAAGATTGGAGACAGGAACGGACGGGTCGGTAACAAGAGAAGCGAGAACGAGAGAGACAAGCGGACTAGCGGCACGGAGGAAGTTTGAAAGAGGAGGACGGGAGACAACAAGCGACGACTGAGGAGGCGATGGTAGAAGGGGAGCACGAGCCGTGTGAGAATGGAGCAACATAGGGTGAGAGCGCTGAACAGGAGAGAGGACGAGCACGAGAGGCACGGTGACACCACCAGCGGGACAAGGGAGGAGAAAAAGTAGGAGAACGAGGGGGAAAACAAGCGGGGGACGAGTCCGGAGGAGGGAACACAGGGCCGTAGGCAGGCGGGAGAAGCAGTGGCGGGGGAGGTGCAGTCGGGCGGTCGGGGAAAGGAAGACCGAGGAGGGCGGACACCAGCAGCGACTGCTACTGCTGCTGCTCCACACCGACACCAGAACCTCCAGGTGCACCACAGCTATCTCCGAGACGCTCCATGCCAACACCCTCAGAATGAGAAACCTCTCTAGTACCTGTGCCACCCCCAGGACCACCGGGACAAGCCAGGTCAGCACCCCCAGGACGAGCACCCCCAGAACCTGCACCCTCCTCAACGCCCGCACCCCCATAGCTCTCGAACCCCTGCGACAGCGGCGGCTGCTGCTGCGGCGACGATGACAGCGGCTGCTGCTGCGGCGGCGATGGCGATGGCTGCTGTGGCAGCGAGGCGACTGTGGATATGGTGGCGGAGGAGGAGCAACCGGGGCAGATACAAGCGGCAAAACCGAAGCTACTGGGCCCCCGAAGTCAGCCGAATCCTCCACGGGGACTACTGACGGGAAGGGATTGACGTGAGACACACTAGAAGGGGCAGAACGTGGAGGGAGAGGAGCAGGGGCTACCGGGGGAGTGGGGACCAGGAACAGGGGCGGGGCAACTGAGAGACCTCGGTGAGTAAAGCGGGTGTAGAAGGAGGAAGTCACACACATCTAGGGGGAAGCCAAGGAAGACACAGAGGACAGTGCGGGCAGTGAGCTTGTTCGTGCCAGAGGCACGAACGTGAGCGAGGCAGCCCCAGATGTGGAACGCATATGCGTCACCAGGGGACCCGGTCCAGAGGAGGGTCGGCGAAACCTGCGGCCGGTGGGAGTGTGGCCACATGTTGAGCTGGTGAGTGGCGTAGCGAATAGCGAAATGCCACTGAAAATGGGGTGCACCGGCATGGATCATGGAGGTACGAGCCACCTCCATGACCAAACCGATGCATCGCTCAGCAACTCCATTCTGCTACGGGGAGTCCGGCAGGGTGTACGACTGGGTGATGCCCTCCGCACGGCAGAACTGGCCAAGCCGACCGGAGGCGAACTCGCCGCCATGGTCGGAGTGAAGACGCAGCACACGGAGGCCGTGGTGGACTCTCGCAGCTACGACCCACGAGATAAGAACGTTAGGCATGCTGGCCTTTCGCTCTAGGGGAAAACCATGGTATAGCGCGTGTAGTCGTCGACAAGCACCAGAAAGTAGCGCTCTCGACGCAGCCCAAGGACGGGGGCTGGGCCCCAGACGTCCAGGTGCAGGGTCTGGAGTGGCGCAATGGTAGCGGGAAGCAAGGAGGAGTGAGGGGCATGGCGGAGCTGGCCCTCGATGCAGGGCGTGCACGGCAGTGCAGGCAAGGGAGGGAAGGCATGGAGTGATGCAGGGAGACCTAAGACAAGAAAGTGTTGGGACATGTGACGCAAACATGGGAGTGCGGGGTGACCCAACTGGTGGTGACACATCAGCGATGGTTGGGTGGGCGACCGACACGAGCAAGCCGCAACAACCTGGGAGGGCGCGACCACCTGGGGGGACGCTCCCACCGAGGGGAGGGGGGGGGACGCGGTGTCTAGAGTGAACAGGCCAGCCACCGGGTCCCGGGGGGACGTGGTGAGATGGGCACTAGTTGCGGCCTCGGTGCAGACTGCGTACCGCTCGTGTCCAGGAAATGTAGTGGTGACGCGGAGGTCCTGAAGACAGCCGACACCATCTAGGTTTTCTGGAGAACGAGGGGATGTGCAAGTCTGTAAGGGAGCCCGAGGGAACCGCCGGACGGGGAAGGGTAGTGGAGCTACGTGCAACTACCGGACCTGAGGAGGGCTCAGCAAGCGCTACAGTGGCAGGGGCGGCCAGCTGCGTGAATACAGTATGGTTGCGAAAGAAGCAAACGGACGCATCCGAGTCTAGCGTGAAGGACATCGCGGCGGTGGCGTCCGAAGGCGGAGAAGCTAGAGTGGACCAGAGGCTAAACAAGGCAGGTGGTCCTACGCTTGACGCAGCAGGGGAACCTAGGCTACACACAGTGGACACACCTAGACAAGGCAAAATACGATAATATGATGTATTCACACTAGAGTCATTAGCATACATGACATACATAGTAGACCTAATCTGATCCATATCCAGCTCAAAGACGAGCACAAGACGACGCACTAGGTTGTACCAGTCGGGGGGGTCCGACGCGGGGCCGAAGCGGAGACGGAAGAGGTCGTCTAGGCGGTGGTAGCAGCGGGCGGCGGTGTGATCGAGACGGTCGCGGACGGTGCCATGACGGGGCCCGGACTGAAGCTGGTACTTGCAGGTGACCACATTGGAGCCTCCACCTGACACTGAGCTTTGCGGCCCACCACCACTACCACCACCACCAGTGCCGCCAGGCCACCACGGCAGCGGGGGTCCCCACAGCGGCTGCTGCTGCTACTGCTATTGGTACTGGGGCTGCTTCTGCTACTGCTGCTCCGGGGCATCAGCCCCGGTCCCCTTGTGTGCACTATCGTCCCCTCTACAATCGCCACCACCTCCGCCACTTCCACCACCCCCACCACCCCTCCCGCCGCCCCGCCCCCTCCTCCGGGCCCGACGTTCCCTACCTTGATGAGCCTGCAGTGTGGCCGCCGTAGTGGTCTCAGTAGCACGGGCTGTCTAAGCAACAGCGGAAGAGACGTCAGAGTAAGTGCACTAGGAGGGAGCAAAGCCCTGGAAGATAGGGACTGCTGCAGTACCGCTAGACTGAGCGATAGTGCGATGGCGGGTCTCTATCGTGGACATGGCGGTGACAAAGGCACGAAGGGTGAGGTCACCTGGGTGTTGACTAAGGAAGTGGTTGCGGGCGGTGGCAAGGCGGTCAGGAAGGCGCGTGGCGATGAGGTAAAGGGTAGTGCAGAGGGAAGGAGGGAATGTAGTGAGCTGGGCCTCAATGCTAGCAGCGCTGTAACTAATGTCAATGTCAGATGAGTGGCAATGTCAGCGACATTTGGGAAGGACGCAAGATCTGGGAACAACATGGGGAGGATCAGACGGCCGGCTGAGGCAGAGGAGGGAGTGGAATAGCGCGCGATGACTGCATTTAAGTATTCCTTTGCATTCGCTACAGCAATAAAGCGGGGACGCTCAGACAGGGGGAGGGCGTGACTAATAGCAAGCTGCGCTACCTTGTCGCGCGACTCCCAGACAGCGCGGGCAAGCTAAGCAGCGGCAAAGGCCTCATCCTCAGCAGACGTGGGAGCGTCTGGGAGGGCAGCAGTCGCGTCAGGGCACTGAAGCTTACCGTCGACATGGATGGCCAGGGAGTAGCCGTCCTAACGCTGACCTATAAGCTGACGTCGAAGGTTGACGAGCCACGCCTCAATGACGATCGCCCGACCCTCCGCGTCCAGGCGGAACACATCGTTCGCCATCACCACGGCCGCAGCAGCTGACAACGGCACCTTGACACAACGGCCCGGCGGCACGGCGACATGGCGACACTGCGGAATGACGGCACGGCGGGAAAAGGGGCTGGCGCGAACTGGGGCCGGCTTGAACAGGGGCCGGCGTGAACTGGGGCCGGCTCGAACACGGGCCGGTGCGAGCAGAGACTGGTGCGAACTAGCGGGGCCGGCGCGGAGGGACAGGGCTGGCACGTATTAGCGGGGCTGGCGCGAACTGACTGGGCCAGCGCATAGGGACGGGGCCGGCGCGAACTAGCGGGGTCGGGACGAACTAGCGGGGCCGGCTCAAACTGATGGGGCCAGCGCGAAGTAAGGGGACCGGCGCAAAGCGACGGGGCCGGCGCGAACTAGCGGGGCCAGGTGAGCGCAAACTAGTGGGGCCGGCGCTAAGTGACGGGGCCGGCGCGGACAGAGCTAGGGTGCTGGCGCGGCTAGGGCTAGGGCACGGCTAGGACACGGGCTAGGGCTAGGGGCGGAAGTGTAAGCGGGGAGGGGGACCTAAACCCTATACAAATATCTATTGACACCCCTATCCCCCCAATTCCCCTTCCTACGTAGAATGAGCATGAATATCATAAATAGTCACTTTGTATCCACATCCACTAAATAGGCTATGGGAAGTCCGTCTACACCTCATACGTGGCTGAGTGCTTGTCGGACTTGACGTGCGGCGGAAGTTCCTTGTAGGGGGATGAATACAGGGAATCTGGGGAGGGGCAGAACAAGCAACCAGGGGACGCGCCACTGCAGGGGGAAGACATGAAGTGAAAGGTGATGTGTCGCTGGTCTGGTTTGGTATGGTGTGACTTGAGCCGCATGACACAGAGGAGACGAGATTTGCGCGACAAGATTTCTGCTGGACTCCAGTAACCAGTAACCAGTACAGTACAACAGCTAGAAAATACCGTAGCTCACGCCAGGCAGCTGCCGCTGTCTGTCCCGTTTTTGTTTTTTTCTCTCACGCGCATCACGAGTCGGTCCTTCCTTCTACTGTTCCGGCGGTGGGTGAAGCTGCCGTGCTTGACGTGTGATTAGTAGCGGACACGTCTGATGTGTCCTGAGTTACCGAGCCAGTAATCGGTTCCACTAGTAGAGCCCCACGAGAGCAGCCCACACTGCAGGTTCCTTCTGGAGGCGTACACCACTCACGTGTCCAAGCAGCTGCTGCGCGTAGTTTAGGGTCCATCGTCAAGCTGCGTTGTAAGAAGCGAGTGTTTCCGTTATGGCCGACCTCACATAAGTGGCGAGTTCACGGGATCGTCGGGGGCTGGCGGCACGGATATTCGACGCGTTGCCATCGTTTCTGTCAAGGGTAAGGCCACTTTTATTTCCCCCCTCTTTTTGTTTGTTTAGTTCTGTTTTCCAGCTGCTCGTTTCAGGCCTGGTGTTGGGTTCTCGCGCTGATATTCTCGCAGTGATATTTGCGGGACTACGGCGCCGTCTGTGTCTGCTTTTCAGCAGTGTTGTTATGCTTACCTTATGCACGTATCCATGGGCTTCCGTAACCCTTCCGTGCTCTTGCGACCCTTCCTGTGCCTTGCCACGCGCGACTTTCGCACGAGTTATGCGCACGGGTTTGTTCGCGCGTGTTTGCTCGAGCTATGCACGGGTATGCGCGCGTTTGCACGGATGCACACGGATGCACGGATTTGCTCACTCGATCATTCGTGTCTCTTCCCTACGCTCGTTCCAACACCCACGGCAGACAATACTTCCGTCTACGATCTGCTCCCGCCTCGCCTCTCCCTGGCCCTGGCCCTGGTGCCTTTTGAGTCACGCCTCACTCAAAAATCACCTCATCTACGATCTGCTCCCGCCTCGCCCTGGCCGGCTACAGCCGGCTACCGCGTGCGTCCCGTGCGTCCTACCATCTCTTGCCACCCATCTGTCAAGTCGACTCTTGAAATAGAGAAGGAAGAAATTTGCGGGTTTTCGCGTGCATAGGCTTAGATTCGGTCCCGATCCGCCTGGCCCCCGCCGCTGTGTGTTTGGCTTCGCAGCAGCAGCGTCGTCCGCAGCAGCATAGTCCGCGGCCCCATGTTGGCGGGCCCCCATCGCCTCACCACCGCCATCAGGTCCTTCCTGCTTGCGCGCTCGCGGATGGCGCAGCCGCAGCAGGAGCAGCAGGAGCAGCAGCAACTACACGAGCAGCAGCAGCACGATCAACACGATCAGCGGCAGCAGCAGCAGCAGCAGCAGCAGCAGCAGCAGCAGCAGCAGCAGCAGCAGCAGCAGCAGCAGGAGCAGCAGCGGCAGCAGCAGCAGCAGCAGCAGCAGCAGCAGCAGGAGCAGCAGCATAGCACGAGCCAGAGGCACGTTGACGCCGCAGCCATTGCTGCAGCTGCAGCGAGTGATTCCACCCCCCCCGTGCCTTCCGCCAACTCCGCCGTTCCGTTTCCGCTTGTGCCGGGGCTAGAAGGGGAACCGGGGAGGGTTCAAGTGGGGGCGGAGGTTAGTGAAGAGGCAGAGGCGGGGAGTGAAGGGAGTGAAGGGAGTGAAGGGAGTGAAGAGAGGGTAGAGAGGAGGGTTCTGGACAAAGGGAAAGCGAAGGTGATAGAGGGCGGTGAGTGTGGGGTGGGGAGTGTTGGAGGGAGTAGTGGGGGGAAAGAGAAAGGTTGGGCTTTGGACGGAGGGAGGGAGGGGGAGGGGATGGAAATAGAGGAAGGCGAGGTTGTTATGGGAGAGACCGGAGAGGAGGAGGAAGGGGAGGAGCGAGAGGAGAGGGAGGAGAGCGGGGCGTGGGCGGTGGATTGCGGAGACAGGAAGCAGAAGAAGGAGCAGCAGCAGCAGGAGCAGCAGCAGCAGCAGCAGCAGCAGCAGCAGCAGCAGCAGCAGCAGCAGCAGCAGCAGCAGCAGCAGCAGCAGCAGCAGGGGCAGCAGCAGGGGCTGAGTTTGCTGTTGGAGTTGGAGGAGGACGTGCTGGTGAAGGTGCTGGAGTGCCTACTCGCGCCCGCGGATCTCTCTCGCTGCATGGTGTCATGCCGCCTGCTCAGGCGCCTAGGTGCGTGCTTCATGAATGGGATTCGTTTTGTTTGTTTGTTTTTGTGTGTGCGTGTGCGTGTGTGCGTGTGCGTGTGTGCGTTTGTGTTTGTGTGTGTGTTTTTTTTTTTTTTTTTTTTTTTTTTTTTTTTTAAGACTTTGGCAAACGCCTCCTCACGCGCCTTGGTGCGAGCGCTCGTCAGCACTCACCTTCCTTCCCGCTGGTGGACCTGGCGTGCTTGTGCGCATGTCTCCCATGCCCTCGTGGCTCGCACACACGCATGGCTCTTCTTGTGGTGCCACCTGTTGTCAGCTCTTGTGCCGTTCCGTGTGGTCGCAGAGCTCCTTACGTAGTTCTGAAACCCTTGTCGTCCTTGTTGCTTTCTTTCCATCCGCCCGTGTCATCCTCGTTTCCCCCCTCCCCCCCGGCCGTGTCCACTGCCTTCCATGTTTCCTCAGCTCCTACTCCTTCCCCCCTGACGGAACCCCCCCACTCCTCTTCCCACCCCCCCACACTCCATGTGTCCTCTCCCCCCATTCCCCCCACCCCTCTTTTTCCCCCGCCCCCCAGTGATCGAGGCGTCTCTCTGGCACGCCCTCGCCCTGCGTCTCTTCCCCCACCTCTCCCTCTTCGTCGCTGTTCGCCCCGCTGGCTGCCCGCGTGCCCTCTCCCTCCACCCCTCCCGCCACTGCCTCTCCTCCTCTCACTCCCCCTCTCCTGCTTCTGCCACTGCTGCTGCTGCTGCTGCGTCTGCCTCTGCTACTGTTGCCGCTGCTGCTGGCAGTGGTTTCGCCGGCGGTAGGGCAATGGGAGGAGCGGGGCAAGAGGGTGAGGGAATGGAGTGGTTGAGGGAAGCAGGAGGAGCAGGCTCGAGCAAGCAGCATCAGGCCAATCACCATGCTCAACATCATCACAATCATCAGCATTTCCAGCAGCAGCAGCATGGGGTTATGAAAGGGGATGAGCTGTCATGGGAAGCAGTGGCCGTGTCTCGATTCCTCTCCGCCCTCTGCTGGTATCTCGCTGCTCCTCTCGGCCTCACTGAATCGGCCGCACCACCCATTACCACCGCCACCGCCACCGCCGCCACTATCGCCACTACCGCCACCATTGCACCCACCGCCCGCAACACCCCCACTGGTGCTGGCCCTGCTGCTGCTGCCCCTGCTGCTGCTGGTGCAGTAACCCAGAGCATCATAGGGGCTCATGGGCGTGGGGCAGCAGACACTGCCACTGCCACTGCCAGTGACACCGCCACCGCCAGCAGCGGCAGCAGCAGCAGCAGCAGCAGAAGTGGTATTAATGGTGGTGCTAGTGACGGCGTTATTGGTGGTGCTAGTGGTGGTGATAATGCATTCTCTGCTGTCTTCCCTGCTTCCCCCACTGCTGATCCTGGCGATGCTGCCCGTGGCGCCACGTCATCAGCCAATGCCAGCAGGGATAGCAGCAATAACAGCAGTAATAATGGCGACAGCAGCAGCAGCGACGGCAGCAGCAGCAGCAGCAGCAGCAGCAGCGGGAGCGGCAGTGGCAGTGGCAGTGGTGGCACCAGGACGGGCCTTCTGGGTCGGCTGTTGCGCAACAGGAACAACCATGCTGCTGCAGCCGCCTCTACCACCCCACTTGTTCCTCCCGCCCCCCCTCCACCTCCCGCTCCTCCTCGTCCGTCCTTCAATCGTTATCCTCAACCCACTTCGCCGTCAGCACACCCGTTCTCAGCACCCACCGCCTCAGGACCGCCCCCCTCAGCGCCCCCCCGCCGGCGCGCCCTGGGCCCGGCGTGCGAGTGGGTGGCGTGCATTGGCGGCGCGGTGTGTGCGTCGAGCACGGACAACTACCCCGAGGAGGGCATTGAGAAGACGCTGCAGGCGGAGCCGCGGTGGCCTGACCACGGCACGCCCTCCTACTGGTCCAGCAAGGGCAGGGCGGATCCGCTGGCACCGGAAACGCTGACTTACCGCCTTGCTGCTCCACTCTGCCTGGTGAGTGCGCGGGTTTTGGGGTGGTTGCTGTTGGGGTTGGGAGATGAGGGGATAATGGGATATGGGGTTTTAGCGTTGGGGTGGGTGGCGGTTGTGGGAGAAGGGGACGGAGGGCAGGGGGTGGCGCGGTGTGTGTGTCGAGCACGAACAACTAACCCGAGGAGGGCATTGAGAAGACCCGCCGCGGTGGCCCGACCACGACACGCCCTCCTACTGGTCCAGCAAGGGCAGGGTTGAGACTCTCACTTATCGCGTGGCCGTGCCGCTCTGCCTGGTGAGTGCCTGGGGTTTGGGGGTTGGTTGTTGTTGGGGGTGGGGAGACGAGGGGTGCGTGGGGTTTTGGTGGTGATTGAAGGGCTGAGGCTTTTGTTGAGGCGCCTCAGAAACCGCTCTGCCTGGTGAGTGCGCAGGGTTTTGGGGGTGGTTGAGGGGCTGGGGGGGGAGGGGGGTGAGAGGGGATGGGGGATGGGGGATGGGGATGGGAGAAAAGCGGGGCGGTGTTGTAGGGCTCGGAGGGATGGGGTGTGTGGGATTGGGGATTGAAAGGGAAGGGAGAGGGGGCGTGAGGGGTGTTCAGAGGAACCAAGTGGAAGTTGGTTGACTCTAGTTGCTGATTTCAGGGCGGTCGTATGTTAGCCCGTATCCTGAGAAGTTGTCTCTCCCTCTCACTGTGTGTGTGTGTGTGTGTGGGTGTGTGTGGGTGTGTGCGTGCGTGCGTGCGTGCGTGCGCGCGTGCGTGCGTGCGTGCGTGCGCGCGTGCGTGCGTGCGTGCGTGCGTGCGTGCGTGCGTGCGCGCGTGCGTGCGTGCGTGCGTGCGTGCGTGCGTGCGTGCGTGCGTGCGTGCGTGCGTGCGTGCGTGGGTGTGTGTGCGTGCGTGCGTGGGTGTGTGTGTGTGTGTGTGTGTGTGTGTGTGTGTGTGTGTGTGTGTGTGTGTGTGTGTGTGTGTGTGTGTGTGTGGTGTGTGTGTGTGTGTGTGTGTGTGTGTGTGTGTGTGTGTGTGTGTGTGTGTGGTGTGTGTGTGTGTGTGTGTGTGTGTGTGTGTGTGTGTGTGTGTGTGTGTGTGTGTGTGTGTGTGTGTGTGTGTGTGTGTGTGTGTGTGTGTGTGTGTGTGTGTGTGTGTGTGTGTGTGGTGTGTGTGTGTGTGTGTGTGTGTGTGTGTGTGTGTGTGTGTGTGTGTGTGTGTGTGTGTGTGTGTGTGTGTGCGCGTGCGCGCGCCGCGCGCGCGCGCACGCGCGCTCGCGCCTTTCTCTACACACAGGTTCGGGAATTCCATGTTCGTCCCTTTCAAGGTACACACCCTCCTCCTCCTCCTCCCCTTGCCCCACGTCCTCGTTTCTCCCCCCTTCCCAACCCCCCGCCTCTCTCCTTCCCGCCGTCGTTGCCATAATATTGCTTCCTCCCTCAAGGACTGTTGATGTCAACTCCTCATCAATTCGTCCCAACCGCCAACCATGCTCCCACCCACCCCGCTTCTCCTCCCTGCCTCACACTCGTCTCCTCTCCCCCCACTCTTTCCCCCCTATCCCCCCTTTCCCCCCTTTCCCCCCTATCCCCCCTATCCCCCCTTTCCCCCCTTTCCCCCCTATCCCCCCTATCCCCCCTATCCCCCCTTTCCCCCTTTCCCCCCTATCCCCCTATCCCCCCTTCCCCCCCTATCCCCCCTATCCCCCTATCCCCCCTATCCCCCCTATCCCCCTTTCCCCCCTATCCCCCTTCCCCTCCATTGCTCCTCTGCCATCACATCCCCGTCCTCCCTGCAGCCTTCTTTCAGCGCGGGTGGCCCATCTACTCCTCGCGCTTTGTGCGCTTAAGGCTGGGGTACCAGCGAGCAGCAGGCACACACGCAGACGAGCACGCGCAGAAGCAAGGGCAGAAACGGGCAGACGGGGCAGAGCAGGGCCCGGAGCAGCAGGCGTATGGCAGTGTGTACCTGGAGCACGGGGGGGCAATGGCGGTGGGGGGCAGTGAGGAGGCGGAGGACGAGTTCAGAGCAGCGGGGGGTTCTGGGCCGGCCAGAGATGGTTACATGTGGACCTATGTCTCGCCGCTCTTCCCCATGGACCAGGTGTGCCTTGTGGTCGCCCTTGGTTGCCTCGTCTTGAGACGTCACAGAACCCCCTTCCCAATGGACCAGGTGCCTGCTAGTTGCCCTTGTTGGCCTCTCCGTGCACGTTCTCTCGCCCTCGCTCTCGCATTTTGGGATGCCTCAAAGCTCAAAGCTCCAATTTTGAGGCGTCTCAAAAGTTCGATTCTAAAAAGTTTCAGTGCCCGGGGGCCCACATCTCGCCTCTCTCTCCTGTGGACCAGGAGCGTGCTTGCCCTTCGTTGTCCCTCACTCGCTCTTTTTTCTTTTCTTTTCTTTTCTTTTCCTTTCATTTACGCAGTCGCGACCTCCCTTTTTCCTCCATGCACCCCCCCTGGAGAATGCATCCGCCCTGTTTGTCTCTCCATCCTCCCCTGTCCCTGTCCGTCCTCCACACCCTGTCTGTCATGTCTACTCACTCACACCTACGCACGCTCATTCCCCCCCTCGCTCATCCCCATCACCTGCATCACCCCGTCCCTCCTCCCTGTTCCCCATGCCTCTCTCAGGCGGTGCTGTGCGGCCCTCTTCCATTCCACCCCTGTTCTCACGCCCCCAATCCTCATGCTGCTCTCCCCAACATGTCTTCCTCCTCCCCGTGCCCTGTGCCCCGTGCCCCGTGCCCCGTGCCCCATGCCTCCCACAGGCGGATTCCCTGCAGCGCTTTGTGCTGCCGCAGGCGGTGCTGTGCGTGGGCGGGGCGGCGCAGGTGGAGTTTGTGGGGCGCATGCAGACACAGCAGTTTGACGACCTCTACTACATCTGGTGAGCTCACCTCAGTTGACCCGGGTTGACCCCAGTTGGCGCCAGTTGACCTGCCGCTCTTCCATTCACAGGCAGAGCGGATTTTTTGCGAGCCCTCCCTAGCTGTACTGTAGAGGATGATGCTGATTTGGCCTGCCGTGCCGTGCTTTGTTTTTTTTTCTCTTCTCAATGGCGTAAGCGAATGTGTGTTTCTCGTTTCGGTTCACTGTACCCCCCCCCCCTCCCCCCCCTCCCCCGCCCCTTCTCTCTGCGTGCGTTGTGGTGTTGTTCATGAGCCATGCTCCTGCATCTCTTGAGCCCACTCTTTCGGGTGCACGTTTCTGCTCTTGCATCCCTTGTGCCCGCTTTCTCTTTCTATGGCAGCGTACTCTGCACTTTGTGCTCCCTCCACCTTTTCTTCCCCCCCCCCCCTTCCCTCCTCGCTCCCTCCCATACGGCAGTATTTGCCACGTGTCAATCATCGGCTGCCCGCTTCCACAATACGACATCCTCGGCCAGCCGGGGAAATTCATCCTGACCGAGCTGCCCGGAAGAAACCACTATACCCCACGTGCGCAGCACCCTCTTCCCTCCTCCTCCACTGTCCGCCACCTTGCCGCCCCTCCTCCTCCTGCTGCTGCTGCCCCTCACCCCCCTGTTATCGGCTGGCGGTTCCCCGTTCCTAGTGTGCGTGAGCAGCTGGCTGTGCTGCGGAGGGGAGCAAGGGCAGGGGGATTGAGGGGCAGGGAGGATGGTAATGACTGGGGTGCAGCGGATGCGGATGCTGATGTGGCAAGATGGCGGACAGCTACAGAGGGGGAGCGGCTGCAGAGGATTCTTGCGCTGCTTGCTGGCCGTGCTGGTGGCAATGCTCCTGCTGGCGCTGGCGCTGGTGCTGCTGGTTCTGCTGGTGTTGCTGGTGCTGGTGCTGGTTTGGTTGTTGGTGCTGCTATTGGTGGCGATGAAGCAGGGGATGATGAAGACATCGCGGATGATGATGAGGATGAGGACGATGATGGTAGCATGTTTCTGTGGATGCAAGGGGCGCTGGTCCGGGAAGGGGGAGGGCTCCCTGTGCCACCACCTGTGGCTCCTGCTGGCGTTCAGTTGCTGCTGCATCCCGATCCCTCCGCCTCATCTTCTGCTGCCGCGGCTGCTGCTGTGGTAGGGAGAGGAACAGCAGTTGGAATCACAGGCATAGGCCCAGGTGGAGACAGACTGGGAGCGAGAGGGAGGGGGGCAGATTTGGGTGTTCATGCAGGGGTAGAGATAGAGGAAGGGGAGGTTCTGGAGGAGGAAGAGGAGGGAGAGGAGAGAGAGGGGGTGGATGAGGTTGAGCAGGCACATCTGCGGCACCTTCTCATGTACTCTACGGATGGTACTGCAGCGTTGGGACCGATGCCTAGGTCATGCGTAACCATGCTGGGACAGGGGGGGCTTGGGGATCCGGGGATGGGGCATGCTCAGGGGCAGGGGCAGGGGCAGGGGCAGGGAAGAGGAGAGGATGGGAGGGAGGGAGGAGGGGTGGGGGAAGTGGAAGGGAGGGTTGGGGGTGGGGGAGAAGGGATGGTTGAAGGTGCAGAGGAGAGGGAGGAAAGGCTTGATGTTGGTCTGAGCCTTAGCAGGAGTGTTGGAAGTGGGAGAAGTCTGAGTGTTGGGAGTGATGAGTTCATGGATGCATCAGATGATTTTTTTGAAGAGGGTGACGATGGGCCGCTTTAGTGTGTGGAATTGGATTGGGTGGTGGTAATTGTGGGACGGGGCAAGATGGCTTGGAAGTTGGAACTTTGTTTCAGTCATCGTAGGATCGTATTTGTTTGGAAATGCGTTGCTGAAAATATGGTTTTGTATGATCATGCCCACACTTACGGTATATCAACTTCGTACGCATTTGGTCGGTAGCATAGGGGTTAGGGGAGCTGTCGGAAAGCTGTGGGGAGGCACATGTCTATATAATGCATGGAAGGTTCATATTGTTGGAAATATCTCAAGGACTTGAGCGTTTCTGAAGTGTAGCACCACACTTGAGAGAAGCCATATCGAGTATGCGAGTCAACGGAGGTTACACGAGGAGGTTGGACGAAAGAACACGAAAGGACGAAAGACTCGAAGGGTCGCAACCGGAGGTTGCGACTGACCATTACAACTGCAAGAGTGGTAACCGAATCGACCATCGAGTCGCTGTGCGACTCGATAACCGTTCCTTCAACTGTATTCTACAACTGCTTTACTTTCCTACTCTCTATATATTGTTGTATGCTTATTTCTTTTCATCAATCACTTGTTCTCACATACTAGTACAAGGGTTCAACTACTCAACTTCCGCTGCACTACTCAAGTCTCCTTTTTCAACTGGGACTTAGTCTCTAGAAAGATCCTAAGGGCATTCCTCAGCCCAACATGGTATGAGAGCTGGTCAGAAACCAAACTCCCAGCAACTACGCTCTATCTACAATCAGCACACCAACGACTTTATTGATTACAAGTCATGGACAGCAAGGGCAAGAAAACCTCTACGGGCTCACCCAGTGCCCAAAACACTCAACCCGGCAACTCTGGACTGCACACCTCAGGACTGCAAACCAAGACCGGCGCTGCTCAAAAAATAACAGGAAGAGCATCAGAAATGGTGACACCATCACCCTCTTCAAGCGTGGACCCGAAACTTATGGAAAGGTTCTTCAACTTCATGTCTCACTTCGACCAGCAGCAGCAGACAAGGACACCTGCGCATTCAACACAAAGCAACGGAGGAAACATGGGATTAGCGCCGATGAGCCTTGACAACTCATCGTTCGGGCGACATAATCAAGCGCCTACCTTTGCGCCTTATCACTCTTCACCGGGGACGTTCGAGTTCATGCCGCCCCGTGCCCAACCAACAGCAGCTGCATCACAACAGACACCAAATGAGATTTTAAGTCTCCAGGCGCAGTTTTTACACGTGATCAAACTGCAGACATCCTCACCATTCAACGGACACGACTTCTTTACGTGGAGCTTCGAGTTCGAGCTGCTGATGGAGGCTGCGCATCTCTTGGGATACTTCAACGGGTCCCTGCCATTTCCAAGCAATGGCACTGCGAAAGAGCAAGAAATCTTTACGTATCAGTCGCTGCTGGCGTACACAGTCCTCCTGCGGAACCTGTCACCGCAAGAACAGCAAAGCATAAGAACATATCGGAGCTATAGAAACTCCGCGAAACTCGCATGGCACCACCTCAAGTGTCTCTATCAAGCAAACGACAGCGTTACACAAAGCAGACTCATACAGCAACTGACAACAATACTGATGAAGACCGGGGAAAAGGCGATGCAGTATATGAGTCGACGCCAGACACTCCGCGACCGCCTGCTTCGGTGCGGAGGAACAATCACTGAAGAAAGCTTCGTAACGCTTGTCCTCGCTGGGCTTGGGCCAGAATGGAGAACCACCCGCTCGCTCCTTCGCGCCCACGGACGAATCTCGGAGATGCACCTTTGCGCCGAGCTCCATGCTGAACAACAAGAGATGGACCTGTTCGAAGAAAGGCAACCAAGGAAATAGCAACCATTAGTCTTCTACACTCAACGAAGGAACGACAACAACTACAATCGACGCGGCAAGCAAGATCAACGCGACAACAGAGGACTCACCATTGTGCCGCCGTTCTGCCATAATTGTCAGACATCCGGACATTCCAAAGTCAACTGCACACGTCCCCGAGCTTATCGTCCAGTAGACCCACAAGTCGCCTCCACTCAAGAAAGCCCACCGAGACGTTCCTCCTCATCTGCACAAGGCACACCAAACATCATCAATTGCATGGTACACATCGACAGCTGCGCACCCGGATCACCACCCACTTACGCTCCAGACGAAGAAGAATTGCCGCCGCCACGCTCACAAGGACTTCAGGTTAACCCGATATACGCTGCAGTCGCCAACGCCGAACCCACCGGACGAAACACCTGGTTCTTGGATAGCTGCTGCGGTCAACACATGTGTTCTTCCGGGCGCTTCGTCCAACGAGAACGACGCCTCAACCGCGATGTCATCATCACTGTCGCCAACAACGAGAACCTGAAAACAAACAGACAAGGTGTCGTTCAGCTTCAGTCAATGGAGACGAACGTCATACTACAACTCAACAAAGTCCTAATCGTCGACAACTTGGGATACAACTTACTCAGCGTCAGCCAGATAATGGCAAAAGATATTCACCTGGAATGCGACTCGGACTCCAACGAATTTCGTCTTTACCACGGGAAGGGCGGTCTCTTCATCGGTCGCGCTCTCCTGAAGTCCGGCGTCTTCGTATTGGATTTCGTCCCCGACCGCGGTACTGCCGACAGCGATGGCATCGTGTCATTCGCAGCCTGGACGCACCCGCCGGATCTTGACCCCGACTTCACCCCAGCTGGATTCTGGTACTCCAACACCATACCTGCAGCAGAAAGAACACGAGCATTAGCAGTCATCAGACAAGAGAGACAAGTGCCAGCAAGCGTCTCTTCCCAGACATCACCAGCAGTAGCAGCAGCAGGACCCAGCTGAGTACCATCACCAGCGATCCGAGGACCACCAACCGAAGCAGATCAACTTATGCCCATCACACGAGAAGTCTGCCGAAGTCCCGCCACGGTCGTCGAGTTCTTCTCCAACGCCGACATGTACCAACGCTCGCCCGGCCATCGCGCCCTCGACGACATCTGGCACCAACGCCTTGGGCATCCTGCAAACAGCACGGTACTACAAACCATCCAAGCCGAAGTGTTAGAGAGAAACGCTCTTCTTACAACGAGCGGCCAAGAACTTTGACGACCACGCGCACGATGCTTCATGTGTCCCGAAGCCGATCTTCCTCACCAACCTTTCTCATCACATCACAACCCAAGCGCACCTGCATACGCACCGATGGAAAAAGTTTACAGCAACATCTTAAACATACCTCGAGACGACACTGAAGCCGACTTCAACTATGTCATCACGTTCATCGATGCGGCAACAAGTTATGTCTGGCACTACAACCTCAAGACGCGCGATCAAGTTTTCGAAGCCTTCACGACGTGGCTCCCCATCACTTAACGAGAATCAGGAACTAAGCTCAAGAGCTTCCAGCCAGACGGCGCACTGGAATACCACTCACAACGATTCAGGAACTACTTGGCGGAAAGAGGGATCAGACGCCTGGTTTCTTTGCCCTACGCTCATAAGCAGCAGCGGGTCGCAGAAACAATGAACCGGACCTTGCAGACGACGATGCGGAAGCTGCTCCTGGGAATGAGACTGCCCAACGCACTGTGGCCAGACGCGATGATCCATGCAGTCCACCTGCACAATTTGTTATCCTCGTCCTCGCTTCCAAACAACGCATCACCGCACCTGCTGTGGACACGAAAAAGGGGCAGCACAAAATTACTTCGGGTTTTCGGCTGCATGGTACAATACAGACCCCACACAACTCGAGCAGGACGCTTCACTCAACGAGCACGGTGGGGCCTAAACCTCGGCATCGCCAAACATTTTCAAGCATGGAAAATCCTCGACATACAAGACAAAAATACCGTGGCATCACGTGATGTGATCTTCTACGAACGTCTAACGCTGCAGCATTACCTGGACAACGTCGCCAACACAGACGACCCCACCGACGGCTTCGCGGGCCTTCGCTCCTTCGCCGACCGTGCTGCCGAAGCTGACGCAGCAGAAGAAGACGTACCTGGAGCTTCGGAAGCTGCCGGACCACTCCCTTACTGTTCCGTGCCTGTTCCACTCGACGAAGACAATCCTCTCGATAGCAACAACCTCGACACCCTTTACCACTTCGCTGACCAAGGTTACGTTACACCTCACCCGGTCGACACGAATGTCTCATAACGCATCGGCCCAAACTTCTTACCTGATCCAGAAGATGGTGACGAAGCAGCCTATTCGGGGAATGAAAATTCCCCTCGACACACACCCACGGGACTGCAGATACTCGGCTTATGGGTCTCCGTCCAGCATCCGCCGCCGCCGTCTCCGCACGAGCCAACGACCCTGTCGCAGGGTCTTGGGGGGGAACACAAGGCGAAATGGAAGGAAGCAATGGAAAAGGAACTAAAAGCTCTGCAAGACCGAAATACATGGAAGCTGGTACTTGCAACGAACATCAACAGGAAGAACGTACTCTCGGGAAAGTGGGTGTACCGCATCAAGACCAATGCGGACGGCTCCATCGAACGATTCAAAGCTCGCTGGGTCGTACAAGGATTCGATCAACGATACGGAACCGACTACACAGAAACATTCGCCCCAGTCTCCCGTCACACCTCCTCGCGCATCCTACTCGCCGTCGCGGCCAAGAAGAAACTACCACTGCGCCAGATCGACGTCGCAAATGCTTTCCTGTACGCACCTGTGGACGCCGAGATCTTCGTCGAACAGCCCCACGGATTCATCGACGACCCCACAAAAGTATGCCAGCTGATAAAATCTCTTTACGAGATCAAGCAAGCCCCGCGGCTTTGGCAGCAGCATCTTCACGGTCCTACTCATCGTCTACGTCGACGACCTTCTCTACATCGGCTCCACTACCGACATCGCCAGCTGGTTCGAAGGGGAGTTGAAAAAGGACTTGACACTCACGGTGTCTGACATCGTAACCCAGTACCTGGGTCTGAACGTCGTCGAAGACAACTCGGCGTTCTACCTATACGCTGGAAAATACGCAGGCGTTGTCGCGAAGAAATTCGGACTAAGACCGACTACAGTCGCGACTCCCTACCGCTACGGGAACAACAACGACACCTCCGCAAAACTCCCCGCGAAGCAAATCCAGGAGTATCAGCAGAAGCTCGGCTGCCTACTATTCGCAGCAGTAACCTGCCGACCGGACCTATCTTACAGCGCGAGCCAACTGGCGACGCATTTAAAGCAGCCGGAACAAGAAGATCTCGAGGAACTCAATCGGGCACTACTCTACTTCGTCTCTACGCCGACGACCGGACTTACCTACAGTAAAGCAACGATATCGTCCGTACAACTGCTCGGATACGTCGACGCCGATCACGCGGGAGACAGAGAAAATCGACGATCAAGGACGGGCTACATCTACCGACTAGAGCCTATCGGGACTATCTCCTGGCAGTCGAGCAAGCATGAACTAATCGCACTATCTTCGGCTGAAGCAGATTATATCGCCCTCTGCACTGCGACCAAGGAAGGACTTTACCTGCGAGAGTTACTTGAGGAAGCAAAGATTGCGACCCTGCCCGTCTTCTCACTCCTCTGCGACAACCAATCTGCGATCAAAATCGCGAACAAGGACGGCTTCGCCAACCGAAGCAAGCAGATTGCCCTGCGGTATTTCTTCGTCAAATATGAAATCGCGAAAGGGAGACTTCAATTCAGTTACTGCCCTACGACAGAAATGGCCGCAGACTACCTGACGAAGAAACTGGCGAAGGCAAAGTTCGACTACTGCATGCTGCTGACCGGGCAGACAAACGTCACCGGACCTGAACACGTCAGCACTCCAGAAACGAAGGGGAGTGTTGGACTTAAGCGTTTCTGAAGTGTAGCACCACACTTGAGAGAAGCCATATTGAGTATGCGAGTCAACGGAGGTTACACGAGGAGGTTGGACGAAAGAACACGAAAGGACGAATGACTTGAAGGGTCGCAACCGGAGGTTGCGACTGACCATTACAACTGCAAGAGTGGTAACCGAATCGACCATCGAGTCGCTGTGCGACTCGATAACCGTTCCTTCAACTGTATTCTACAACTGCGTTACTTTCCTACTCTCTATATATTGTTGTATGCTTGTTTCTTTTAATCAATCACTTGTTCTCACATACTAGTACAAGGGTTCAACTACTCAACTTCCGCTGCACTACTCAAGTCTCCTTTTTCAACTGGGACTTAGTCTCTGGAAAGATCCTAAGGGCATTCCTCAGCCCAACACATATTTTGCCACAATTTTCTCTTGTGAATGATAATGCAATTTGTTTCGCAATTGATTTTTTCAGCACATCTCTACACCCGTATATTCACCGCCAAAGTTCGTGTGCCTGCAGCCGACATGGGAAATATCGGTGCCAGGTCAAGATCTGCCGAGGATGACTCCTCGCTGAATCGAAATGGTACGTTGGCGAACTCTGAATGGCTCTTAGAATTCCACCTACGTCATCGAGCATCTCCGACACGTGCATATCAGTTCCTACTGCCCACTGTTCACCCGTTTGTGTCGCGAGATTGCAGTCAAACCTGGACCTAAGAGCAGGGCCAGAGACACCGCGAGATGCGCAGATGTGTTGCTGACTCACCGTGGGTGTCGAACTGGTCAGCAAAGGGCTCTGGTGATATCACGCCCCGCTCTGCCACGAGTCACTCCACGCTGGGATTGTCCCCATTCTGCGGGTGACCACAGTCCCCACGGCACGCCACGCCCGACTTGCTGTCATCCACAACGACCAGACCGGCCATCTCAGAAGCCCGTCCCTCCAATCCAAGCACCTACATTCTTGAACTCACTTCACCTGGCTTTTCACATAACACCCAGCCTTCGTTCTCGCATCTGCACCATCCCTTCTGACCGTTGCCTCCTCTGTCACTCCTTCCACCCCTCTGTCTGGCTTGCTGTTCCCTGCCTGGGTATTCTGATCTCTTACTCTTCCTAACGTGGAAGTCAATCGTCCCCGAAATTCATTCTTCACCAGCAACCATGGCGTCGTCCCTTTCGATTGCTTCCTCGACGCGAGTGTTTTCTGTACAAGCAGTCACAGCCGGCCGTGTCCAAAGGCGCGTTCAGATTACTTGCAGTTTTCAACCGAGGAAGGCGAATCGTCCTGCGGCTTCTTCAGGAAACGCCCACCATCTCTCTCCGTTTTACGCTGAGAAGTCGAAACCCACGGAGGAGGATGTGGACCGTGCCTACTGGACTGATGACGACGTCTCTCCAGTCCTTCTCCAGGATGACGAAACCACGTGGCAGGACAGCAACTATGTGGATCTGACAATGCGTTCTTATAAGTGAGTTTTTGCTTTCTTATTTTCTATTGCCAATAAACCGTAATTTTCACTGGAAAATAATCGCTTACACTGCTTTTCTCCGCATCGTCACTGCTTTTGCGTCCACCAACTTTTCAGGATTGTACGGGAGGAGACTCAGCATGCCCTCCAGAGCCACTTCTTGCAGCAGCAGAAGCACGAAGCAGCTAACACAGCGCAGTCCCACCATATGTGTTGTGCGCCAACCCCGTCGCACACCTTCTGTTGTGGTAAGGCCCATTTTTCCATACCACCAGTCACCGTCTTCTCTTTCCATACAACCAGGGACTCCGTATAACGCTCTATGTCGGTATCTTACGATGTGTTACAGGCGAGGATGACAAAGTTGCTCAAGAGGTCTCTCCTGCCTGTGTTCACGGAGGTGACGTGTTCTACGGGACCAGCCACTGAACTGAGTACCTGCATGGGCTGGTTGAGGAAGTGAATGGTTTTAGAGGTAGAACAACAACGCTATCAACCTGTTTAGGCTTCCTCCATGTGCATATGTTCCGCGGATTTTGGTTCGGATCTGCAATGCAAATAATGTATTGTTAGGTCAGTTGCAGTCTGTATTTGCCTTCGTAATGACGACAACCTTGTAGCGACGGAGTGCAGCTGCTTGTAGCGCAGGTAGGGAAACGTTAGCACTACACCCAAGTCCTGTCTTGACCTGCGCTTTTGCCCAACAAAATCTACACACGCCAGGAATCGGCGAGAAATCATCATTTGGAACCACTAGCACGATCTGGTCGTTCAATAAAGCAACTCGAAGTTAACAGTTTGAACTTTTGAGGAGTTTTGCAGTCCCTTTCAGCGCAATTACCCCGACAATGGTCTGTGTTCGTGAAGAATGTCCCGCCCCCGGGCCGACTCCTCCTGACAGCAGCAGTTGGCAAGCGAACCCTGAGGGGGTATTCCGCAGCGAGTGTCAGACCCGAGGGTTTAGCGGGAAGATCCAAGGCTGGAAAAAAATTGCATCGGGTCTTGCGAAATACTGACAGCTACAGCCAGTCAGCTGTCAAACCGAACAACTAACACTGTCGTGCAAATGAACTTCCACCAATCATAACTTCGCAAATTTCTGGCGGACTCGCAAAGTTCGGCCAGTATAGTCGCAACCCTCCCCTTTCGACATTTCGCGACTATGCAGCCGCTGCGCTGTCAAGAAAATTAAACCCGCAGTTGGGTTGTGACAACCCGCGGCTCCTTCGGCCGCGGGTCGACCTCGGGTCTGACACTCGCTGCGGAATGAACCCTGACACCCCCTCTCCTCAACGAGTCAACGACCCTGTATATTGTCCGCCTGTGTTCATTCTGGTTTAACCCAAAACCCCCTCACCGCAATTCAAACCCTAGTTTCGCTCCTCCTTAGCCATCTGCTCGCTCGTCAGTGCTGAATCGCGCCTGTTGCTGTATCCCATCTAGCGCATTGGGTCTGCGGTTCATAAGATTTTCGTTGCTTGTCTCCATGGCTGATCACGATAGCAGCGACCGTGGGAAAAAGAGATCTGCTGATGTGCGTTCTTTCTTTCTAGGTTTCTATTTCCGCAGCCGTGTACTGCTCTCTCTTTCCAACCTTTCCGTTCTTGTTCCACAATTCCTCGTTCTCGTCCGCGTTCTCGTTCTCAAGCCCTGCCTCTGTTTATCTTCCCTGGTGCTGTGTCTGCATGTGATAAATCCTTGCTTGCGGAGCAGGACATCACCGGCCCAGGAGGTATGCCGTCCGGTGTGCTCTAGTTATCAACTCTGCGCTGCGTTTTCTGCTCTTTGGTCGATTGATTGTTTATTGATTGTATTGTTCTCTTGTCAGCGCAAGCTGAGGCTTTTTGGGTCCCCCTATCCTCCTACGAAACTCTTGTTTGTTTCTTTTCTTTTAACGCAGTCGTGTTTCGGCTTCTCATCCCGGCCATCAAAATGGGGCCTATTATCGGCAACAAGGGCGCAAACATAAAGAGCATTCGCGACGACTCGGGAGCGCGGATCAAGATTACCAATTCGGCTGTGGTGCGCTTTCCCCTGATGACGTCAGACGAACAATCCACCTTTCGAAGCTCTCGTATATTCTTGCTAAAAATCCCCTGGGCTTCGCTAAATCTCCGCTCTCCGCTACCCCTCCCCTTCGACACCCCGATCTTTCCCCCTCGCGTGCCATGGCGCCGGGAGCAGCGGCTGGAAGAGCGAGTGGCGATCGTGTCGTCGCGCGACCCGCCTGGCACCGTGCCCACATGCGCGGAGACGGCCTTTTTCCGCCTCTACCCCTTCGCGCTCACTGTACGTCCTGCCTGCCGCAGATCAGTAAAACCCCTTTCTGTCTTATTTCCGTTTGACCGTTTATTTGTCTATTTGTTTGTTTGTTTGTTTGTTTATTTGTTTGTTTGCTTGCTTGCTGTTCACGTCGGTGGTGTTTTTCTAGGCCAGCCTTTGACACCTTTATTCCGGTGGTTTGAGGCCATGGTTTGACACTTCGCATCGGTGTGACTCTCTGCCTCGGTAGTTCCTTTTGCGCTTGCTGCTCTAATTGCCGCACCGCACGCGCCTCGTTGCTTGCTCCACCCCTTCCACTTCTCCCGCACGTGCTCACCAACCACCCCCGCAGGAAAGCACGTTCTCTCTCACACCTTGGGAGGCGTGCTGCAGCCGGCCGGCTCCCCCTGTGGCCTCGTCTTTCTCGCCCCTCCTCACTGCCCCCTGATTCCTCCTCAATCCCCTGCTTTATTGCCTCCTCCTAATCCTCCTCTTCATGCTACAGATCTCTCCTATTGATTCCTCTCCTCTCCTATCCTCTCCTCTCCTCTCCCCTCCTCCCATGTCTCCTAATCCTCCACCTGCTCTTTCTCCCTCTTCCTCCTCTCCTGAATCCCTCCTCCTCATCACTCCTTCCCCTTTCCTCCCTCCCCCGATCCCCGTGTCCTCCGCCTTTCCCGTCCCCGTGTCCTCCATTGCCCCCGCTTCAACCCGCTCCTACGTGCCTCCACTTCCGGCGGCACAACTCGTCACGCCTCGTCACGCCTCTCCCGCATTCAACTCCCCGGCTCTCCGCGTCTCTCTCCCCCCTCTCACTTTCGCCATCCAAATTTGCGCGTTGCTGCCGCTTGCTGCCGCGTTGCTGCTGTGGCACCGGCTCGGTATGTTCTGCGTCGACTTCGCCCCCGCCTCACTGCGACGGACTGCGACTGATTGCGACTGCCTGCGACTGCCCTCCCTCCTGCCCCCCCTCCCGCTCTCCCTCCCTTCCTCCCGCCCTGCATCCCGCCCTCTCTCCATCTCCATCCGGCTCTCCCTCGCCATCTCCACCACTCCATCGCCCTCCTCCTCCCTCTCCCCTCTCCCTCTCTATCGCTCTATCGCTCGCTCGCTCGCTATCCCCACCGCGTCACGGCCAGCCGCACAAGGACAGCGGCGAGGAGGTGGTGCTGAGCCTGCTGGTGCCGGACTCGCAGGCGGGCGTGGTGCTGGGCAAGGGCGGCGCATCCATCAAGGAGCTGCGCGAGGCGTCGGGCGCGCACATCCGCATGGACCCCTACCGCGGGGCGTACGCGCTGCCGCACGACCGCCTCCTGCAGGTACGCGGGGTTTGGGAGGGTCGGCAGGGTTTCGGGCGCCAGGAAGGGGTTTAGGGGGACTCTGAGGGGCGATTGGTGGGGAGGGGTTTATGCGGCGGTGCTTGCTGGGAGGGACGGGTTTTGGATTAGGGTTCTGGCTTGGCTTGGTGAGCGCTGCATGCTCCGTTGCTCTTTTTCTGCGCGTGTCCCCTCTGCTTCCCGCCCCGTTTCTCTCGTCGCCCTCGCCCTCGCCCTTGCTCTCACGGTCCGTGTCGTCCGCGTTTCTGCCCGTCTCCTTTTCCCTTTCCTTCCCGTGTGTCTTGACACGGGTCTCGTCTTTCCCGTGTGTCTTATGGTGACTGTGACTCCCTCCAGATCACGGGAACCGAGGAGCAGGTGGAGAGCGCAGTGAAGGAACTGGCGAACAAGCTCAGGTACCGTTGCTGCCCGACCTTGGGACCGTGATGGTGGTTAGGTGGGGCAGTGGAATGGTGCGGTAGTAACATGGATGGGGGGAATGGTGGGATTGGGGGGTGGTGGGGTGGTGTGTGACTGCACGCACATGCACCACTCTCTCGCATTGTTCGTCCCCACACCACCCTCGCCTCCGCTTCGTCCATCCCGTCCCCTCTCTCTCCCACGCGCCCCTTTCCTCTCGCGCTTCCTCCTTGCTGCCTCGTTTTCTGCTCGTTGCTGCCTGCGTCTCCATCCATCCAAGCCACCTATCTCTCCCCCCCACGCCCTCTCCTGCAGAAGCTCCCGGCAGATACCCATGTTGGCTTATTGAGGCGCCTCACAAGCCCCTCCCCCCCTCTGCCCGCCGCGCCCCCTGCCTCCTCCCCCCGTCCCCCTTCCCCAGGGATCACACTCCCAAGGAGAGTCTGGCGGAGCTGGAGGGCACGGCGGGCCCCACGCGGCAGATCCCCATGGTGGCGTACGACGCCATCACGCAGATGCCCGCGCACGCCATGCTCGCACATGCCTCCGCCGCGCCCATGCCCTCCTGGACCCTGCCGCAAGTCGTCGTTCCCGTGCACGATCCCTATGGTCTGTCAGCCAGCCCCCGCCTCGCGCTCTCGCATTCGTCTTTTGATTTTCCCTCGTCCCCCCGGGACTTTTGCACGTCCCCCATGCCCTATGCGCCTCCCCCAGACCCTTTGCACCTCTGAGTCATGCTCCATGTGAGCTTGTCCCTCCTAATTCTCCCCCTTACCACTTGTTCCTCCTGCAAACACACTCACACTGCATGCCATATCATGCATGCTTGCATGTACTCATCCCATGATCTTCTACCCCCCTTCTTCCCACACCGCCCTTCCCCCTCAGCCAAGCGGCGTCGGACGCAAGACGAGCCCCCGGTGGTGCCGATAGGCGCGTCGCTGAGCGAGGCCAAGGTGCGCGCAGAGGTGCGCATCGGCAGCGCGTCCATCGGCGCCGTGCTGGGCCACGGCGGCCACACTATCAAGAACATCCGCAACATCTCGGGCGCGATTGTCAGAGTTGCCAAGGTGCAGGAGGGGAGGGGGGAGGGGAGAGTGAGGGCAATGAGGGAGGGGGTTGGGGTGAAAGTATGGGAGGTGAGAAGAGGGGAGGGTAAAGGGGGGAGGATGGGAAAGAGAGATGAAGTGATCAGTGATTTCATTTCATTTCATTTCATCGCTGCTGGCTTTCTGCTTGACAGCCGATTCCTTGTCTCCTCTCTTGTATCTTCCTTTCGCATCTCTTCCGCGTCCATCGACCGCCCTTCTTCTTTCACTTTGCTCCCATCTCTCAACCACAAAAGTCGCTGCTGCTGCTGCTGCTGCTGCTGCTGCAGGAATACTGGTGCCTGGTGGTTGAAAGTTTAACTGTTCTCTTGCTCTATTATTGAAAAAGCATGCATCCACACCGCCTGCATTCTCCTCTCCCCGTTGCGCTGTGCTGAGCAGTTGAGGGCGGGAGACACGAGCGACCGACTAATAGAAATCCAGGGCACACAGGCACAGGTTAGAGTCTGCTCTGCTCCCTGCTCTGCTCTCTGCTCTCTGCTCTGCTCTGTGCTCTGCTCTCTGCTCTGCTCTCTCCTCTGCTCTCTTCTCTGCTCTCTTCTCTGCTCTCTGCTCTGCTCTCTGCTCTGCTCTCTGCTCTGCTCTCTGCTCTGCTCTCTGCTCTGCTCCCTGCTCTGCTCTTTGCTCTGCTCTCTGCTCAGCTCTCTGCTCTGCTCTCTGCTCTGCTCTCTGCTCTTCTCTCTGCTCTGCTCTCTACTCTGCTCTCTGCTCTGCTCCCTGCTCTGCTCTCTGCTCTGCTCTCTGCTCTGCTCTCTGCTCTGCTCTCTGCTCAACTCTCTGCTCTGCTCTCTGCTCTCCTCTCTGCTCTGCTCTCTGCTCTGCTCCCTGCTCTGCTCCCTGCTCTGCTCTCTGCTCTGCTCCCTGCTCTGCTCTCTGCTCTGCTCCCTGCTCTGCTCTCTGCTCTGCTCCCTGCTCTGCTCTCTGCTCAGCTCTCTGCTCTGCTCTCTGCTCTGCTCTCTTCTCTGCTCTCTGCTCTGCTCTCTGCTCTGCTTCCTGCTCTGCTCTGCTCTGCTCTCTGCTCTGCTCCCTGCTCTGCTCCCTGCTCTGCTCTCTGCTCTGCTCTCTGCTCTGCTCTCTGCTCTGCTCCCTGCTCTGCTCTCTGCTCTGCTCTCTTCTCTGCTCTCTGCTCTGCCATCTTCTCTGCTCCCTGCTCTGCTCTATGCTCTGCTCTCTGCTCTGCTCGTTGCGCGGCGTTGGGGTGCTGATGTGGGGTTCTGCACGGTCTCACGTTCCTGTGTTTCCCCCCATGGGGCTGTCTTTTGTTGAGCCCTTTTTTACTTGACATACTCGCTTCACACCCACTCACACTTGCTTCATTTGTGTCCTCCGTCCCATGTCTTTCTCCTCCTGTATGCGATCTTCCCCCCCACTCCCGCCTGCTCATCCATGCTGCTTGCCCCGTGTCAGGTGTCGGCAGCGCAGCAGTTGATTCAGGCGTGTCTTGTCAACACCAACTAGTGTAGCGTTCATTCATGCAGGAGACCTGGCCGTCACCCACATTCCCACCGATGATGCCTACTTACGGACTTAGGAATCCTTGGTGGAGTTTGTTGGAATATATATTCTGCAGTAATTGCTTGAAGTGTTACACTAGAAGTGTAGTGTGGAGGAAGTCCTTCGTATCTGACGAGTCAAAGGGGTGCAGTTGCACTGGTTGGGATGCGAGCCTTCAGTTTTAGGAACATGCCATTCGGCCAATCACGACGATCCGGCGAGGCGAGTCAACGCAGCTGCTGTCAAACATATTTGTAAATGTTATAATAGGTAAGATAGGTGCATGCTCTTAGAGGGTACAACACTTGAACAAAAACAACCTGTATGCCTCATTCTAGTTCAACTGTTTACTCGGCGATAGTATCACGCGCTAGGTAACGGTAATCCCCCGTATATAAGACCCGCCGAAATAGTCAACCCATGGGTGGCATATGCGGGGGATAGCTTATGATATGGCGCAATTTTTAGAGTACCCGATTTTCTGGGTTTGCATTTTACATAACACTGCTCGTTTTTCTTGCCTTCTGTTGGGCTGAGAAATAGCCCTTAGGATCTTTCCAGAGACTTAGTCCCAGTTGTAAAGGAGACTTGAGTAGTGCAGCGGAAGTTGAGTAGTTGAACCCTTTGTCAAACATGTTTATTTATCATGTTTGTATAGACCGTATAGGGTAACCTCCTAGAGGGTACAACATTTAGGTATATGTGCATGTACTCTCTCTCTCTAATTATTCATTCTAGTTTTGAGATGGTATCACGCGTAGGTTTCGACCCCCCCCCCCTACCGCTTCCGCCCCTATCGTCGCGTCTCCTAGCCTAGCCTCGCCCCTCCTGAGCCCAGTCGCGACCCCCCCCCTAGCCCCGTCGTTCTCCTCTCAGGCCCCGTCGCGCCCCTTCCAGGGCTTCGTAGCGCCCCTCCAGGCCCCGTCGCGCCCCTTCCAGGGCTTCGTAGCGCCCCTTCAGGCCCCGTAGCGCTCCTTCCAGGCCCCGTCGCGCCCCTTCCAGGGCTTCGAAGCGCCCCTCCAGGCCCCGTCGCGCCCCCTTCAGGACTTCGTAGCGCCCCTTCTGGGCTTTGTCGCGCCCAACCTGGGCTTGGTAGCGCCCCTCCTGGGCTTGGTAGCGCCCCTCCTGGGCCCCGTCGCGCCCCTCCCAGGCCCCCGTCGCGCCCCTCCCTGGGCCCCGTCGCGCCCCTCCCCCCCCCCCCCCCCCCCCCCCCCCTTAGCGCTCCTCCCTGGGCCCCGTAGCGCCCCTCCTGGGCCCCGTAGCGCCCCCCCAGGCCCCGTCGCGCCCCCCTCCAGGGCTTCGTACCGCCCCTCCTGGGCTTTGTCGCGCCCCTCCTGGGCTTGGTAGCGCCCCTCCCAGGCCCCCGTCGCGCCCCTCCCTGGGCCCCGTCGCGCCCCTCCTGGGCCCCGTCGCGCCCCTCCAGGGCCCTGTAGTGCCCCTCCTGGGCCCCGTCCAGCCCGCTCGGCCCCGTCGCCCCAGCTCGGCCCCGTCGCGGCCGCTCGGCCCCGTGGCGCCCGCCCGGCCTCTGTCGCAGCCGCCCGGCCCCGTCACGCCCGTTCGGCCCCGTCGCCCTCGCCCGGCTCTGCTGTGTCCTGCCCGGCCCCGTCGCAGCCGCCCGGCCTCGTCGCTGCCGCCCGGCCCCGTCGCAGCCGCCCGGCCCCGTCGCAGCCGCCCGGCCCCGTCGCAGCCGCCCGGCCCCTGTCGCAGCCGCCCGGCCTCGGCGCTGCCACCCGGCCCCGTCGCAGCCGCCCGGCCCCGTCGCAGCCGCCCGGCCCCGTCGCAGCCGCTCGGCCCCGTCGCGTCTGCCTGGCCCCTCGTTGCGCCTGCCCGGCCCCGTCGCGCCTGCCCGGCTCCGTCGCGCCTGCCCGGTCCCGTCGCGCCTGCCCCGGCCCTCCATACTTCCCGGTACTGTCCCCCGTTCCCTGCACCACTTTGCACCCTCCTGCACTTCCCTGCTCCGCCTTGCACCGCATTGCACCTCACTGGACCGCACTCCACCGCACTGCCCTGCACTCCAACGTCCTACACTGCCCCTGATGGCTGCTGAGCTTCGTTTTGATGCTGAGGGTCAGCCTCTAGAGTTCGAGGCGTGGCTGGCTGACCTTCGCCGCCACCTCACTGGTCAGCGGCAGGACGGCCACCCGCTTTCCGACCACCTAGACGGTATGCTCCCCTGCCCTGACCCCCCTGCTGTGCTGCCCGCTGATCCCACGCCCGCTGAGCGCGAGTCCACTGCCGCCGCTGCCATTGCCCGCTCCGTCTAGCTTTCCCGCGATGCCCTTGCTCAGCTCGCCATTAGCAATGCCCTCCCCCCCCCTGAGCGCCCTCGCTTTAGAACCATTACTACCGCCCAGGCCTACCTCGATGCTGTCATCAAGCGCTATTCTACCCCTCCTGCTGCCTCAGTGGGTCGCCTGATCCTCCCCCTGCTCTTTCCTGACCTTGCGTCTTTCCCCACTGTCTCTGACCTCGCTGCCCACCTGCGCTCGATAGATGAGACCTGGCGCGCTGCCTGCACTGATGCACAGCTTAGAGCCCACCAGCCCCCCATGACCTCTACCCTCTACCTCCTTGCCACTCGCCTCCCTGACCGCCTTGCCGCCGCCCGCGACCAGTTCCTTAGCATCCACCCCGCTGCGCTCACCCTCACCGACTTTGTTGACACCCTGACTGTTATAGAGACTCGTCACCGCTCCATCGCCCAGGCGAGCGGTACAGTACCGGTCCCTATCTTTCAGGGTTGTGCCCCCGCTCAGTGTACCTTCTCCGACGGCTCTGTCGCTGTGGCTGAGACTGCTGCTGCAGTGCAGTCCCGCTCGGGGAAGGGCCGCCGCCCCAAGGTTGGGAGCGGCGGAGGCGGCGGGGGTGCGGGTGGGGGTGGTGGTGGAGTCGGGTCGTCCGGTGCCGGAGCGGACGTGGGGACCCTGCCCAGTCCAGCTGCCCCGCTGCCTCCACAGTCGCAGCAGCAGCAGTCGCCGCAGCCGCAGCCTCCGCAGCAGCCGCAGCACCCGCCGCAGACGAGGCAGGCGAGTGCCCTCCCGCCTGGGTGGCCTGGAGCTGGTGGTGGTCGTGCGCGTGGTGGTGCGCCGGGTGGTGGTTCTGGAGGCGGGCGCTGTCAGTACCAGATCCAGACCGGTCCTCGCCGCGGCTTCGTTTGCGGTAAGATCGGTCATTCCACTCCTCGCTGTTTTCGTCGTCTGGACGACCTGTTCCGTCAGCGCTTTGGCCCGGCGCCCGACCTCCCGGACTGGCACAGCTTGCTTAGGCGTAGCATTCAGATTTTTGACTTGGACATGGATGCCATTGTAGCAGCCTTGCATGTGATGTATGCTGATGACTCTAGTGTGCTTCACTCTTATTACCCCGTGTTGCCTAGTGTAGATGTTCCTAGCGTAGACTCCCCTGCTGCGTCAGGCGTAGGATCTCCTGCTTTGCTTAGCCTTGGTGCTTCCACCTCTTCTCTGCCGCCTCGCGCGACTGCTGCGCTTTCCTTCACCTTGGACTCTGGCGCCTCCCGGTGTTTCTTCCGCGACTCCACGACGCTGATGCCGCTGCCTGTTCCCGCTGCAGTTACTCTTGCTGACCCCTCAGGTGGTCCAGTCGTTGCCCGCAGTTCCACCTCCCTTCCCTGTCCGGCGGTTCCTTCAGGTTCGCTCACAGGTCTGCATCTCCCCTCGTTCTCCAGGAACCTAGTTGGTGTCGGCTGCCTCCAGGACCTTGGAGTCACCACTACGTTCCCTGGTCACGAGCGGTATGCTGTCTGTACCGAGGCCGCCACTGGTGCCCCCCTTACCACTTTCCCCCGGGACCCGGTGTCCGGCCTGTTCACACTTGACACCGCGACTTCCCCGGCTGGGTCTTCCCCCCCAGGTCGCTGCGTCCACCCAGGTTGCTGCTGCGTGCTCCTGTCAGTCCCTCACTCACCCGACTCTCCTTTGGCACCACCGCCTTGGTCACCCTGCACTCCCGCGTCTGCGTCACATGTCCCAGCACGGTCTCGTCCTTGGTCTCCCCGGTTCGTTCCCCGAGTTTCCCTCCTCCCCCGCCCCCCCGTGCAAGCCTCGTGTCGAGGGTCGGCTCCGCCGTGCCCCTCACTCCTCCTCGTTTCCCCCTACCACCGCACCACTGCAGACTCTGCACATGGACGTCTGGGGCCCAGCCCCCGTCCATGGGCCGCGTCGCGAGCGCTTCTTCCTAGTGCTTGTCGACGACTTCACGCGCTACACCACCGTCTTTCCCCTGGAGCGGAAGGCCGACGTGCCTGACGTTCTCATCACCTGGCTTGTCTCTGCTCGTGTCCACCGCGGTCTCCCTGCCTTGCGCCTCCACTCCGACCGCGGTGGCGAGTTTGCCTCAGGTGTCCTTGGTCGCTTCTGTCGTGCGGAGGGCATCACCCAGACGTTTACCCTGCCGGACTCCCCGCAGCAGAATGGGGTCGCTGAGCGACGCATCGGTTTGGTCATGGAGGTGGCTCGCACCTCCATGATCCACGCCGGTGCACCCCATTTTCTGTGGCCGTTCGCCGTGCGCTACGCTGCTCACCAGCTTAACCTGTGGCCGCACCCCCAGCGGCCGCAGGTTTCGCCGACCCTTCTATGGACCGGGTCCCCTGGTGACGCGTCTGCGTTCCACGTCTGGGGCTGCCTTGCTCACGTTCGTGCCTCTGGCACGGACAAGCTCACTGCCCGCACCCTCCCCTGCGTCTTCCTCGGTTTCCCCCTTGACGCGTCCGACTGGCACTTCTACCACCCGCCGTCTCACCGCTTCTTTCACTCTCGCGACGTCACCTTTGACGAGTCCGTCTCCTTCTACCGCCGCTTCCCCCACCGTGGTCCCCCGGGTACTCCCCCCCTGTTCCTGGTCACTCCTTCCCCGGTGGTCCCTGCCCCTCACCCCCCCCGCCCCCCCGTCCGGCCCCCTCTGGTGTGTCTCACGTCACCCCCCTCCCGTCGGTCGTCCCGGTCGTCGAGTCTTCTGACTCTGGTAGTCCTCCGGTGCAGTCCTCGCCGTCTGTCCCTCCCCCGGTGTCTCCTCCTCCACCGCCTCCGCAGCCACCGTCGCCGCAGCTGCTGCAGCCGTCGTCTCCGCCGCCGCCGCCGTCACAGCCGTCGCTGCAGCCGCCGCCGCCGCCGCCGTCGTCGCTGCCGCTGTTTGTGGGCCCTGGGGGTGTCCCTTCTGGGGGTGCCGGTGTGGAGGGTTCGGGAGGTAGCCGTCGCGCAGCTTGTGGCCCTGGTGTTGGTGTTGTGTCGCCGCAGCAGCAGTCCCCGCAGGTGTCCGCCCTCCGTCTGCTCGGCCTTCCGTCCACTGACCCTGCGCCTGTTCCTCTCCTGTCGTCTCCTCC